CAGATCAGACAGATTGTTGGGACAATTATTGTACTATTAAATGCCATACAAGCTTTTAAACCTTGTTGTTTCCAAGTCTATAGTTTAAAAACTTTTGATCATTCTAACATAGTACTGCATGTAATGCTGACAAAAAAGAAAACAGTGGAAATAATAGAGAGGATAACACTTTGTAATTTGTAATGATCTTTAATTATTTCTTATTTTTATTTTTTAAAGTAATACAATCCATTTTATGTCTGTGATTTATTTGCTAGAGTGGAAAAAAATCTATAGGATAATAATTGCAGTAAATTTACAAATGCTATGTAGTGATCATTTATAAAAATGTTAAAGAAATCAGATGGCACCCTGATCCCATCACACATCACAAGTATAAACTGGCAGCAGCCTTCAGAGGTTTACTATCTCCTTCAAAAGGGGAAAGATTTTTTCAATAATTTTCTTTCTGTCACGAACTTTAACTAGTACTATTATCCTGGATCTGCAGTTTACACTCAGCATTCCTCTGCTGCTTATATCTCTTGGGCTGAACTGTTATCTTTTAGGTTTTGGGAATCTATTTATACTGAATATTCCACAACCTGCACCTGGTTCCTTGGGTACTTGCTCTTGTGGTTTTTTTATCCAGCTCTTATTTCCTAACCTATCTCACTGTTAGTGATTGTAAAACTCTGAATAGAGGTAGTTCTCTTTAATCTTTTGAATTCCAGGGCTTTTTTATTTACAGATAGACCTAAAGCAATTCTCCACGTCTATCTGAACTCAACCAATTTATTGCTCCTATACTAAGTTTTTGATACTACTTAGTCTTTGTGCCTGCATTGCCCATTTCTAGTTTAATAGTATCATTCTTGTTCAGCTGCACTACCATGCATTTAATATGATGGTGATAACCAGGTCATCATCTGCCATTTGCAAAACACAGTGAAAATAATGAATAAATAATCAAAAGCTTTCCACCTGGAAGAGTGTGAGGTCACTGAGCAAATTCATGATGCTGTGAATGTAGCGCACATAGGACAATTTTGGAGTCCTATAGTGAGAAGAAATATAAAATAGCACTTTACAATGCAGACCTACTTCTTTCCAGGTGTGTGCATAGCCTTATTAACTTCTTTAAATATAGTATGATGACTGAGGACCCTTTCTTGAGATCTAAAAGAGCTTTTATTTCTTAATACTCAGTTATAATCAAATCAAATCAAAGTGTGGTACTTGGTATTTTTTCGGTATGTGGGTTCACACTGGGATGCATTTTATGCCTGCAAGAATATAACCTATTCCCTTGATGGCAGGAGGTACTGTCATCTGTCTTGAATCCAGCTGTACACATATAAATGCAGCAGTAGAGAATTGTAAAAGAGTTACATTTTAATTGAAAAATAGAACTAGTATTTTTCTCCTACTTTTGGTGCCCTGAGTTTTTAATTCTGGCTGCTAAGCAGAGAGAAGTTAAGGATTTTTCTTTGTAGTGTTCCTACAGCACATTAAATATCAACAGGGATCATCCTCAAAATTTAGCAGAGATTGTTCCAACTTTCTGCATGATATCACAAAAAAAAAATCTGGCAGTGTTTTTTAAACAAATTTTAGAGGTTTTATTAGATAAAAATATTTTTTCAGTTGACTTGACAACCATGTATAATATTAGTGGGGTTTTATTTGACCAAGGCTCTTTCTCAAAATACTTTTAAACTGAGATTATTAAAATATAGTTTACTTGCATAGTGTGAGTTGACATATTGCTAACATTTTAGTTAGGGAATGCATTCCATAGGATGCTTCCTACTTTCATACTATATCTGCCCTATATCATCTTTAACCAGAATGGGTGGAGCATTTTTATATATCAGTGAAAAAATAATGCTTCTGTTCTTAAAACAGAATTTCATTTATTTCCAGGTAGATATGATCTACTGCTTGTTAAAGTACAGCCCTGTCTTCTTTGTTCATTATATTTTTTCAGACTGTTAGAAAGTTATCCTCTTACCTCAAACTCCCTTGTCTTCCTACCACATGCACATAGTGTTGCTTTACTCTTGCATGAGGTTGAATGATCACAGCCGTGGGAGAGAGGAGCTTATGGACAGAGAGGACAATGTGCACAATGCTAGCATAATAAATTCTGTAGGAAGGGCACAGAACAGCACCTTGCACAGACAGAGGTTCTGTGGTGGCTTTGTTTTAGGGAAAGGATGCTGTTGTCTCTTTCATGCAGACAGTACAGCAAGGAAGGCTAGAAAATACCACGACCACCAGTGTAAGCATGTAATATTGTTGTATCCTTGATTGTTAATGGAGAAGTAGATATACATGGTTGCATTACTTTTTTGCTGGCTAAGAAGGTAGCAATGACTGTTCAGCTTCTTTCTTTCACCACACGTATAATGTGATGTGGTGAAAGAAAGCAGGAGTCAATACTACTGCATATCTACTTTTACGTGGTTTTGTAATTGATACTAGGTCAGATAAAAGTATGCAGTCACTACCGTGCTGTAGAAGAGATCAACAGTATGTATTGAGGAAAAGATTTCTGACAAGGTTTAAGAGCAGGTTCTGTTGCTACTTTAGCATAATCCTCACATATTGTCTTGTGATTTAATTAGTTGATGTTAACATGATGATCTGTGCTTCCCTTTTGAAGCAGCTATTTATTCTAATAGTTAAATACTTTGATACTGGTCTTCATTACTTGCCAGATATTTTGTGATATGTACTTAATTTGGAGGTGGAAGCATATTAAAGAATGAATACTATTGGATTAGTGCAGATGCTTTGAACTACATTTGGATGTCAAAGCAGAATAGGAGAAATGTTACAAAAGTGTAGCAGCTGAAGTATTGGAAGACAGTTGGAATTAGATTTTTTTTATGAATGCTTCATCTTGCTGATATACACAGTTATAAGTACAACAGTTTTTACCACTTCCTACCTTAAAAGATAATGCTGTCCTCAGACTCCACGTACTGATAGACTATATGGAATGCTTTTCTGGTAGCAGATTGGAAAAAAGGGTTAAACTGATGTTTGTGTGTCAAGGTAGCCAGTGGAATTGTCTTTTGAAACAGCGAAGATCTTGATTCAGCTCAGCACACATTGTTCTGGGTGATTTTACAGACTAGTTTGTGACAAAGTCTGACTTCAAGAATTGCTCTTCAGAGTGAATGGGAAATAATAGTGATCAGAAAATATGTTTTAGGGGGGTTTTATTGATTTTTAAATTTAAAAAATGTTTTAAATACTATATAAATGTGTTAATTCCCACTCTGCAGAAATGGAAGCCATCAATTCTATAATAAATTGTATCAACAAGATTTTGTGTACTTGTATGTTTTAAATGCTTTATTTTAAATCACACTGTGTGTATGATACTGGTAAATGAGTACTTTTGCATTAAGGAAGTTTATAACCTGAAGAGCTGTAAGCAAAATCTGTATCTTGTACGTCAGCAAAGTAAAATGTCATTAGATTTTCTATGTTTTTCTCCATAGTTCCTACGGATATAACTCTGGAGATAAGGACATCTCAAATTCTGCATGTGAGGCATGTAAGAAGAAAGTAAGGAAAGTGCAAAGGCACTTTCATGTAGTTGTTTTCTCCCATTCCGGCAGTTCAGGAAAAGACAGAAACTAAGATGAGGGTCAGATAGATTTATTTACCTCAGTTAACACTATTTACAACTAATAAAATTATCCAATTCATGCAGAGGCAGCTGTTCCAGTGCTCCAAATTATGGGATGTACACCTCACTGTAAGAGACGGAGCACTCTGGTAGGCAAGATAAAGCCCTACATGTCATTTAAATTCATTTCATTAGTAAACACAAGGTAATGCAGCTTGCAAAATGATATAAGATTTGATCTAGTCATGAGGTAGATTTGGAATAGAGTAGAGAAGTGAGCTGGGGTTTTCAGTGACGGGTGGCAGGCCTTTTTTTGCCCTTTGGCATTGCAGTGTAGTGAAATATGGAGAAGGATGATGTACTTTAGTTTTTCTACAGATTTCTCCCATCTTTGCAGTCTCTAAGCGACTTGACTGCTCTTTGGCTGAAGAAACCTATACAAGGTATAAAGCTTTATTCACTCTAAAGTTTTGCTTTTCTGCAGGACAGGCTAAGGTTGTGGAATTCCGGCATCACTTTGAATCCAATGGTCTGGAGGGTAGTCCCATGCTCATTTGCAAATCTTCAAAAACAGCTGACAGGATTTCTTATATTTTTCTTCATGCTGGTCAAACGTGTATCCACTTAGCTAATTTTGAAAACTTTATTTTTATTTAAGTCTGTCTTCCTCCTCTAGGTGTACTGGTTGTGAATGAGAGTCACAGTGAGTCTTTACTTAAAGTAGCAGCTTCAAGCAGATTTTTAGTAGAATTTTTCATTGCAGTGCCCTATGTGAGAACTCATTGGGATGCATATGGATGCTGAGTCTTTAAAATCAAAATCCATTGAATTACTTCATGAGTGTTATTTCTACCACTAGACATTGAAAACACATTTAAGTGCTTTTTCTTTAGATACAATAATTATACCTTAAACTATTAAGCATTTTATTATTCTATAAAATTTCAACAGACCAGTTCCATATGGAATTAAGATAGAATCACTGCCAAAAGATCGAATGATTTACTGATCTGAAAAAGTAATTTCCAGTATTTTTGTTGCCCGTTAGCAAGGGAAGTACAGTTCATTAAACCTGCAGTAGTTGTGCAGTTCTGAACATTCAAAAAGCTGTCCAAAGTATACATTGAACAGCTGATTAGAATGTAGTATTTCTCATCAAATGAATGAGGCTTCATTTTTATCTTTCAGTATGGAATTATCTTCAACACACAATTCTGTGTACTTTTGTGAAAAGGATCATAGAAAAAAAAAAATCAAGAGATTTCCTACATGTAATATATATGAATTTTTCATAGCCTCTTGCAAAAGTTTTAACTCATAAACAACTTGTTATTTTGTTGTGCTTTGGTTTATTTTTAATGACTTCAAAATTCAGCATGGGAATAAACCACGACAATGACCACCCATCCTGTGCAGATGGTCTCCATATCATGTCTGGGGAGTGGATTAAAGGACAGAATCTTGGGGATGTTTCATGGTCTCGCTGCAGCAGGGAAGACCTGGAGAGGTTTCTCAGGTATATAATTCAAGAAAAAGAACTCATACTGTATGCCATTTACAAACAGTTGCAATAGATATCCTGAAATAACAAATTTTCAGTGTTTTTTGCCACATCCATGGGAGATTTGTGTTTGCATAATTTATCAAAATAATTTAAATCATCGTGAACTATGTAATATTTGATAGATTAAAATCTGTTTCAGCAATTATTTGTATTTTTCTGTTTTCATGTGTTAATGTATAGGATAATACTTATATGTATTTATATTTACATTTTTGTGTATGTAAATATGTTTAAAATATATTAATATGCTATATATTGAAGAATGTCAGACAGTGAATGACCTAGGAACATTATATAGATTCTCTGATCTATGTTGTGCCATTCAGTATCAAACCATGCAGTATCATTACATTATGTTAATTTTTTAAATAGAAATTTACTCTGAGATCTTTAGTCATAGAAACCAAATTGAAACATCTCGTTTCACTCTATATCTCTTAAATAGGATCTGTTCTCTGAAGCTCTGTCCCTTTGTTAAGCTTATAAATATATCTGTTTGGAATTTACTTGCAACACTTAAACAGTCCTCAAGAAGGCTGCTTTTTGACACTGGAACAGCTGGTATAACTTAAATGTGTCAATCTGACACATTTGTACTGAATCTAGACAGCAACCAAAACCATGACTTGGTGATTTAACAGGTTTAAATGTTTTCAAATATTTTTTCTTCAGTTTTTGAGAAAAGTTAAATTTCTCGCTACCAGCTCAAAAATGTATGTATTCTTAAATGTGTGTGTGTGTGTGTGTGTGTGTGTGTGTGTGTGTATGTATATGTATAATGTGAAATGATGAATATGAGGTTCTGCTAGATGTGAAAACTAAACTACACAACTGCCTATGTGTTATACATTGTCTACTTTTTAAAATTATTTAAATCGCTATGGAAGCCTTAATCAGTTAAGTAAATTTTACTCTAAAATTTTGTCCAGCACTTTCCTGTAATTCCTATTATGGTTGATAAATTGTATTTCTGAAAATCTGCAACATCAGAACACACTTTTAACTTTTATCAAGTAAGCCATATTAATTTATATGGAGTCATTTCTCTGAATGATGGCCCAATGCTGATGAATAAAAAAATCTTGAGTCCACATTTTTCTAATGTCAAATGCATGTTTAAGTCAGCATGACAATCAGACTCTTTAGGATTGCTCAGTGGATGAATCTCTGCATATTGCCAGGTCAAAGGCCAGTAACTGTCTGCTACAGACGAATCCTCAGAGCCTCAATTCTGTGATTATTCCCTCCAAGCTCCCAGGAATGACGTACACTGCAGATGAACAGTGTCAGATTCTTTTTGGAGCAACCGCTTCCTTTTGCCAAGACATGCAGGTAAGGATGGGCGTATACTTCAGAGAATACACCTACCAACTCATTTTTCTGTGAGATATTTTTGTACATGTGTTTGTGGGAAAGAGAATGTAGCACCTTTGAAATGAGAACTTTACACTTTGCTTTCCCAAGTTAATATGAACATTTTCATTTGTTTGTCTTGTAAGGCTTGTTTTGGATCTCCAGCATCATGAATCATGTTGTACCATATCATACCACTGATACGTTCCTTGTACTTTAGGAATAGAAAATGTCATACTGTGAAGTCACCTTGTTGCAGTGGATGAGGTGTTTTCAATTTATTCCACTGGGACCAGATTTCAAGTGTAGGTTTCATTTCATTGTGTTTTAGGTATTGAACCTCCATATCTGACCTTCAGTAGAGTATGCTGTGCTTGTGCGTGCTCTGAGGGACAACAGTAGTGTTAGCTGGGCTCTCAGTACTGCTGAGTATAGCCTGCTTCCCAGCAGTCTCCTGTGAGCCCAGGCAGAGCTGTGCAGTGCCATTGCAATAGGAGTTCCAGTACTTAAGTGAGTTTGCTGACATTGCTTCATGCCATTGCATGAAACAGTGTCACTATATATTAATCTTGAAAGGACAGATTAACAAAATTGAAGAGGTCTTCATAATGTTATGGCCTAATAACAGTAGACATCTGGTTGAAGAAGCATTTTAAGAATGGTTTTAACAGAGAAAAATCGCTCTTCTTTAACATCAACAGAACAGGTACTAAACATGTTGCTTGCCCTTGAGAAGGTAACCAAGACAAGATGGGTAGATGATATTACAAATGTATAAAGAGCATGGTGTATGGGTTGATAGAACAGGGGTTAGGTGGAACTGTGAAATGAAATTTTGTCAAAGTTGGAGTGGGTAGATAGCCTGGAAAGGTCAGGAGTATTTAATAAGAAAGCATAATTCATTACTCCTTTAGTTCTTCAGTTCTTTTCATCTTTTCAGCTTGGACATAGTAGTACTTCTTCAGTGAATTTCAGTGAGAGTAATCTAACATTGCAAGACACATAGTGACTACCTTATGCCTAGAGTAGCATAGCCAAAAAAAAAAAAAAAAAAGGAGCTGTAGGTTACTGGTTATTATTTTAGACATCTTATTGAAAACATTTTCACTCTTGAGAGATGAGCGGTAGAATTCAATGTAATGGTTCTACGAATATTCTTAATTAGTTCCAAGTGCTTTTTTCATTAATTGCAATCTGTTTCTTGTTTTTTAGTACTTTGTTTTAAATTAAAAGTTGTGATTTTGGTTTCTCATTCTCTAGAAACCCATTTTGAACAAGAAAATGGCTTGGTGTTAGCCCTTTATTTCTTCTAGGTCTTCTTTACCAGGTAAAAGAGTTTCAAACGTAATTGAAGAGGTAGTCAAACCTGGAGACTTGATGTTGCATAATACCTTTATATGCTTTTCATTTCTCTGGGCACTTCCCCTCCTTTAATACTCTTTTGTTTAGTTCTAATTCAGGCATTTAAATTCAGGTAGCCAAGTACTCCCTTGCCTATTGTGCTTCATTCACATATGCAGTGAATATTCTTCTCTTGGGGTCCTGACTTCAAGGTTTCTTTGGTTTTTATTGTTCTTTTAGAAATGTTAGGAAGTTAAATTCAGTTAACACTACCCTGGTAGTGTTCAACTGTTTGCACAGAGAGTACTTAGGCTCTGGGTGTTGGTACCTAATTGTCCATTTCTAATCATCTTCAATCATTTTCTCCTCTTCTGGCATTTTGTATGTAAGAGGACACCTTCCAGCTAAATCAGTTATCATCCTTCTTTTTTTTCCCACTTACTGGATCATTACTTTATATTGAAATGGTTAGTTTAGGAAAATTCCTATGAAATATTAGTATTAAGATACCATTGTAACTTAAATCCAAAGATATGTGGGCTTTCTTTGAAGACAGAACCTAGTAATGATGCAGGAATATACAAAAGGCCAGTTGTCTTTTAAACTATTCCTTTTTTCTGATAAACTGCAATTTAATTTTCAGTTTTCTTCGTAAACCAAGTCTGTTGCTTGATAACCTTATGGTCTTAATAGTAAGAAAAAGAGAATTTGATAACAGTTTCGCAGAAGAGAGCCAGGGGAAGAACATTCTGCAGTTTTTCCAAAATCCTCTGCGAAACTGGTAACCCTGAACTAGAATCATATAAGCAAATGTTGAACAACAAAATTATTGTAATGCATCTTTAAGGGCTTTGGACCTATTAGAAATCACGTAAAAATGCATGAAAGACACTAAGGACAGAACTGAGAAAATCTGGTGAAGGCAATGAGGCAGAAAAGAAGTTCTTCAAAGCTCCACTGCCAACCTCTGTAAAGTCACCTTATTGGTTTTCCTCTGCGTCCTCTTGTCTGGAAGCAAAATTTATACTCCCACCTTCTCCTCAACAAAAAAAAAAATCCAAGACATTTGGTTGTCAGACTGTAGACCTGAAGAGCTAGTTACAGCAAGCTTAGGCACTATATTCAGATCTCTTTTTGTTCCCTACTGTGGGTCTTAAATTTAGCTCTTCTCTTAGGGAAGTTTACAGTATCTTAGTCCAATTAATTAAGATTTCTACGGTGATGTGGAATCTCAAAGCAATGGATAGGTCTCAGCCTAAAGGATAAAAAAGCTGTCCTGCTCTTACGTATGGTTCTCCTATGTATGAGGAGAAAGAAGAACAAAGATGTTACAATGTATAATGGGCTAGAACAAAGCTGTATAAACTTTCCAGAAATCGTTCACGAGTTGTAGTACATGCACTGTGCAACACTGACATTGTCTAACTGCAAAGTGGTGTTGGTCCGTAGCTAATTTTATCATCTTCCTCAGAAATACAAGGACGTTACATGGAAATAACAAATGTTGAATTTAGCCTACCAAATTTATATACTATGAAGATGATTCAAAGTTCACTGTGTTGATTGTGCAGATTATTGTGGCTGCCATTAGAGAAGTCAACATTTAGTAGACTTTTCTAAATTGAATATAGTATTTCATTAGTTATGGTGTCAATTTATTAAAATAATTTTTTTTTTTATACATTGGCAACCCCTGAATTTTCCATGAAATCCAAACTACTTTCTTTTCTTTCTGTATACTCTCTTCTACTCTCCCAATAACTAACAGTTTACTGTGGTTGCAGTTGTTGTCCACAATCCAGGAAATGAGAGAGAAACATACTCCTTGAAGGTTCATTTAAACTTCATAAATCCGACAATTTATAGCCCAAGATTTCTTGGATGCTTTCTACTTACTGAATAGTTCATGGACTTCAGTGTAACTATGTAAAAGATAAATTATGAACTACATCAGAGTCTTATATTTTTTGTGACTAGAATATGATTTGATGACCAAACTTCCATGCAGTCTTTTGCATTAAGCAAGTATGTTTCATATGTAACAGCTATTCAACTGAGAAAACAATTGAGTAATGATGGAAAGTAATTTTCTTAATGATCTAAAAATAATCTACAAATATTAGTGGGACAATCAATAATGTATTTCTGCTGAGATGTAATTTTCTACAAATGTTATTACTGAGCAGCACTTTAGGATAATTTACAATCACATTACATGGCAACCTCTGAGCAATACTGCAGATGCCAATGATTTTCCCTCGCTATCAGGAATTCCTCTTTACAATTTAATGGCTAAAGCAAAGGACTGAAGGGACCATTGAGAGCCTACTCCCGTATTTTTCTAAGTGAACCCCTCCCACTCCTCTTTCGTGAATGGTGTCCAGATTTTTTTTTTCCTTTTCATCTTTATTTCAAAGACTTTTTTTTCATACCCTAAGCAAAATTTATAGAGCTTGAGAAAAGTGTGAGTGGATCTCAGAGTACAAGATTTATACCATGTCACCGTGCTTATCTTGTAAGGGAGCCAAGTTTGCTTTTATGCCCATGATTTCTCACACAAGAATCAATTAGACCCTAACATTGTTTCACATAACAGATAGTGAGATCATGGCCCAGAAGTAGTTCTTGATGATTAAATGTGATTGGACAACTTGACAATTTAATGTAGTTGTTGAACTATGAAATGTTGGCTTTTAAGATTAAAGTCCAGGATGTGAATGCTATCTAGTTAGTTCCACTAAAACAATTCTTGTCATAACACAGCTGTGATCTTTACAGAGAAGTAGGAGACTGGTTATATTTCATGGTGATTTTTAAGGCATTTCGGGGAAAGATCACAATGAAAAGAACGAAAGTCATGGAAATATTATAGCTCGGTGAAATATGTCCTCATCTTCACCACCACCCTTTAAACAATCTTAACTTTGCACAAATACAGTTCTGAAATGCTCTTTTGGTTTCTGGTCTTTCCTCTCAACTGGACCTTCTTTCCAGATGCTTATATGAATGGAAATGCATCCTTATGATGCACACAGACCTGCCTCACTCATTCCATTCAAAAAAAAAACCCCAAAAAAGCTGGAACGACCTCTGCTATTTCTGTAGTACATTGTGACTTCCATCTTATATTTTACAAGCTTTTGCTGTTAAAAACTCGTGGTTAACACATTCTTTCAGAAAAAAAACCCTTTGTGTGTTCTTGGCAATATTTTGTTTTCCAATGTACACACAATGAAATATTTTACAATGAAATAGTCTAATATCATGAGTTTAAGTTTATAATCTCCAATAACTCTTACTTTCCTTGCATAGTCTAAAAAACTATAATCCTGTTGAACTGTGCTTAAGACAGATAAATAGTAAACCTCTGTGAATGTTATCTATCCTGATCCTGACTGAATGAAACTTTCTCCCCAGAGGAGTAAACTTTTTATTTAGAAGTTTGAGCTCTAATTTTTGAGTGACTGTAATATTGATAGTGGCCTCCAGATTTCTGTTAGTTTTCAAATCAGTCCTGATCTACAGCATTGCAGGTTGCTAGTGTGAAAAACAAGTTGTGCATCATGTTTTTTCCTCAGCCACATGCAGAAATCTCCAAATGTCAAAAGTTAAATGGTAACAGTAATCTCCGTTTCTCTTACTTCTGCAGCAGAAGTACAATCTGAAGAGTAACTAAAGAGTCTATATGTGATTTGACTCAAATGGAAAACCCAGCAAAAACTTGTAAATCATCCTCCAATTTCAGTAATTCCATGTCTCCATTTTCTTCGGTTTGGGGAATCTCAAGGTCTAGGATGAAATGTTACAGTAATATTGAACCCTTATTTTAAAAATTGGTGAAGAAAAGTGAGCGTTTTTAGAATACAGTTCACTTAAGGCTCAAAGATGTTTCTGGTTGGGGAAGTTAGGTTCATGGTTCATAAGGAAGTGGTACACAGTTATTTGCAGAAACACGCAGATGTATACAAAGAACATTAGCAAGTCAAGTGTCTTGATTTGATTTGCCTGATTTACTTTACACAGCTCAAGTGCATCTGTGTGTTCAGGTACCCAAATCCTTGTAAATCTGACTTTATGTCTTCCTAATTTTAGAACAATTGTTTCCAGATTTGTAAGGAACTGTAGGTTTGTTCTCAGCCATTCTGCAGTCATATGCAAATGAAACTGAGCACAAGATCAAAGTGTTTAGGAAAAATAAAAAAACATACTTTAAAATGTGATGACATAAAGGAAAATTTGACTTTATTTTTTTAAAACCTGGTTAGCTTTTCCTCAAGTCATTGACAGATGGAGATTCAGGGATATAAAAAAAATTATTTGAATTACAAACATTAAATTAGCATATATTTTTGTGGAGTTGTTCGAACAGTATAGTCTGTAATTTCATAGTTTGTATGGAAGCACTTTGTCATGAGCATCTGATACTGTCTTGTCTACATTGTCTTCCAAAACAGGCCCAGAAGTCTTCTTGTAAAGTTTAGTTCTCGGTTCTGAAGTTGTATCTTAATGTGCATGTTTAAAAAAAATTGAAAGAATGAATCATCTTTCTCCCTTGAACAAAACAGAAATTACAATCTGATGTTTTAAAAATGCTTGTTAAAATTATCCAGGAACAGGATAGGACTTCTGTAGCTACATTTTAGGATACACATAGGCTCTGTTGTCTTGTTAGTTCAACTTCAGCACAAAACCATTACAGGTTGAATCAGGAGTGAGTCTGACTGATGCCATCCTGTCTCTTGTTTCTGTGCAATGCTTTAGACCTCTACAGTCTTTGGCTTTTTTGAAAGCTGATGTTACAGACATTTTTACATGGAAGACTCCCACTGGAACTGTCGTGTTCCTTGATTCAGACACAATCTTTTGTTGAATGATGTTTCCTGTGCTCTAAGACTTTTTTTTCAAGGTGGCATAAGATTTATAACACATTTTTCATGCATAGTGTGAAAGGCACAGAGACTCTTACTGGGTTTGCCAATGTAAGAAATCATTTCAGTAAGAAAAAACACATCGTCTGACAAACCTGGTTTCAGAAAACCAGCTGATCTTTATTTTTTATCCTCCCTACAACCCATCCCTTTCCTGATCCTTCTTGCCCCTCTTTGGGAGTACTGTATATATTTGGGGGAATCAGTCTGCACATGCAATAACAACTGAGCCCCATGTGCCCTGTGTTCATTTCCACTGAGTTTATGGGTAAGAGGGGAGCAAGATAGCAAGGAGAATGAAGTCATAACTGAAACCTGTTAGAGAAGGAGGACTTTTTAGAAGAAAATAGGGAAAGCTGCCAGGGAAATTTGCGGAAATGTGAGCCAGCAGGCTTCAATGCTCTGCTTTCTTTCGAAGAAGGTAAAACTATCTTGTTCTGATGCTTAAGAGGGACAGAATAAGCAGCTTTTCTTTCCATCTCTAAAATTCAGTAATGATTAGTGACCCTCTCACCTCCCTTCTCTTCTTCCCAGCAAAAATATTTCATCCTGATTTGTCAGTTTACTTTGTGTCTTCTGTGTGGGTATCAGGTTTTATTGCTTTTTTGAGATATTTCTAGAGGAATGAATGAATTGTAAAGGACTTATGAATCATTGGAAGAGCATAAGGTAGCAGCAGTCTTTGGAATGGTATGAACAGGAGGATTTGGAAGTCCTAGAGAAGTCTCAAAGTTTCTTACAAACACATTTTTAGAAAACTCCCCTGAGCATAGTTCTGTGTGGCTGCACAAAGACTCATTAGTCCCTGTATATAGAAATGGACTGATTATAAAACCTTGATTTTTGTTGCTAGTGACAGTACTATTTTTCTCCTTTTCACATAAAATGAATGAGCACTAAATAAAAGGAGTAAAAATATGGATTAATTTTAAAAATAATTCCCAGAAAGCTCACATCTCTTCCAGCCTTTCAGGGAGTGTATCTGTGCAGTGGTCGCTTCCCATCATGGGGCAAAGTTGTTCCTATGTGCTTTGTCAGATCTGCCATATGCAAAGACCATGACCCCTAGGGTTAGACTTAGAGAGTTTTTCCCCCTCTCTATCAACACACCAGTTTGTCTCATTCCATGTGTTTGTGATTAGTAAAAGTCTAAGAAGAATCTACCCACTTTGGGTTTTGTGCATGTTTAACCTGTCTTTAAACATACTTCAGTACCATCAAAACGGTAAATTTATGACAATGTTAGTGGGTTGCATGCAGAAAGTATTTTGCATAAGATAGATTTTGTGCTTACCTGTGTGTTTGATTTTCAGCATGTCATTTGCACCGGCTTGTGGTGTAAGGTGGAAGGTGAGAAGGAATGCAAAACTAAACTGGATCCACCAATGGATGGAACAGACTGTGACACTGGAAGGGTATGTTTCTGGTGAAAAAGCAATATAAATTATATTGAACACCTAACAGTTAAGGAAACAATCTGAATAGGTCTTTGCACTTATTTAAAGTTCCTACTTACCTCAGTTATCATAAAAATCATACATATATAGTTGAATGTATTATATGTAATATATAATACAGATATGATTAAAAAGTATATTTCCCTAAAAAAACTGAATTAAAAAAAAAGTTAGGCAAAGCCACAGATGCTTTAATGCTTACACTGGTTTATTTCAATTTTGTTCTGGTTTTGTGTCCTACTTATGAATGGAATGCCATTGTGGCACTGCTTACTGTAAACAGAAACATAAGCTTTCAAATATACAAAGTTTTCATCTATGATTTAAGGTTTAGAAATAGTCCCATCAAAGGAACTGATACAGATTTGTCATTAAACTTTTCAGGATAAGCTTTGTAAAGAAATATTTATAGTGTCAGTGCATGTAAGAGTGACAAATGTCCTTAAAAGTATGCCATCGAAGACAAATTAAATGGTCACCTGAAGTCAGACTTAGATTAAATGTCCTTCAAGAGCTTTCCTGCTTGAATAAGCTCTGTCATGTCTGTATGTAACTGTAAATGAAGATAAATAACCTCAAATAGAAAACAAAGCAGGAGCATGCATACATCTTGGGATTTTTCATGATACTGTTCTGACAGCAGTCTGCCCAGCAGTCATTTGCTCCTTGAATCATATTACATTCACCAGGACCATCATTATCGCCCTAAAAAAGTAAAGAAATCAATCAACTGAGTAAGAAAAAATGTTCGGATAATAACATTTTACATGCTAACATTTTCATATCTCTAAAATAATGACATTTGCTGCGATCTTTTGATTCTGATAAATGTATGTAGTTCTGTCTGAAGTCAATACCTGGACAGTAAAGGACATGACTTTTGTTCGATGTTGCATTCTTAACATTGAGACTGATGTGCCTGTGGTATGGAATAAGAAAGCAGCACCTCTTGTTAAGACTACTCAGAATTTTTCATTGTGAAACCATTGCCATCGTGAACTGGGCACCTGAAATTAGTGTGTGTTTTGTGTATTTATGTCTGAATTGCAAAAGGTGATAATAGCAACTCATTGCAGAAGACTCATTTTAACTTTATTCTTGTGGGAGCATTATGATATGGTAGTGACACAGGTTCTGGGAAAGTCCAATGGGGAAGGTAACACCATTCTCTTTATTGTAGAGCTTAGCTAGTAGGGAGTAAGTAATTAATAAGGGTAAGACAATGTGCTGATTCCAACTAGAACAGCTCATTAAGCCTTGTGCCGGGCTACAGAGGTACCTTATTTGTGTTGACCAGTAAAAAACAAAGCAAACATCAGTGAACCATCGCAGAGGATTAGAAGGGATTATTCTTCTTGTTTACTTTATTATCTGTCTAAAATGAGCTTTAGATTACACAAGCCACTGACTTTGTTTGATTTTACTGATATTGTAGAGATGGAGTATTGTTGTTTTATGATCCTCTTAGGATCCTAGGAAGTGATGGAAATGTCATTTGCATAGCCTGTCCAACTTGGTTGTTTTTTAAGTCAAGGATTTATAAGCATCCCTCTGACTCTGCGCAAGGCAGATGCTATCTCTAGAGAAAAATCCATCTTGCCTATTATATCTGAAGGAGTATCTTTAAATAAATATGAGCATTTTTGGTCTGAAACATCAAAGCATTACAAAATTTGTAGTTTCTGATTGCAAATCCAATGTAATGATGGAGCCATCCTAAATGAAGACTTTTCAAAGGTGGTATAATTATGTCATCATTGTAATGCCATGATTTAAGATCAGTTGATCAGTGAAGACCAGTTTGAAACTGCCAGTGAAGTTAAAGATCACCAGACAAGGATTTAGCATAGACACTGCAAGTAATGGAAATACATTCTAAAAGTGAAGAAGACCTTTATTGACTGCGTTTGTTTTGTTCAAAAGACTTCTTCATGAACTTTATCCATTGACAACATAATTTACCAATAATTCCAAATGCAAAGAGAAATAGATTAAATTACCGATGTTAATGACATTAAGTGTTTATTGTCTACTTGTGGCATTATTGCTTTGCAATTGCTGAAATTTCATAATACACAGGATAGATAATCGGCTGGTATAAGTTGATAGTGGTTTCTGCATAGTTATGATGATTTATACCAGATATGGACATAGGTTACAGAGCATGACAATAGTGATTGCGTAGTTTTTCAGTGAAAAGTTGCAGCAGTCCTGAGGAATGAGATATGCATACAAGAGTATTGAGGCGTTTATTATTATTTAAATAAATGCCAGAAATTCTCTTGACTTCTTGACATTAACTTATTGAGTCTTCCATTCTCTTTTTTAATACAAGTTGTGAATAAAATCTCGTTTTCTCTATTACTTGTAATATATCCTTCTATTGAAATTGTGACTGGATGGTCAGTGACAATGCAGTTCCTGCTAGTTATGTGGGAACTGTAGCAGTGAACCAAACAAGTCGTGACAACAGCCCTGAACACTGTGCTGTGATCATCCATACAGTTCAGCTGGAGGATGACCCCTGCACTGGGTTTGGGCTGAACCCAAAAGCACTTTCCTAAGCAGTGCCCAGGCTGAAATGAAGGAGACAGCATGATCTGGGGACCATTTCCAGCAGACTGTTCTAGGAAGCATCGTTTCTTGGGAATGAACTTGTACTCGAGCTTGTGGACAAGAGTTGCATCTGCTCCTTGGCCACTCAGCCAGAGGAAGGTCTCTGACTGTTGTATTTACTAGGATAGAATAAAAAAAGCAATGGGGAACAACAGGAAGAAATATATCCGACTCAAATGAAAACTATGTGTTGAACAAAATGTTTATGTTGTGCTCCCTGTGTGCTTGTGGAGCAGTGAATTGTTTTGCATATGCCTTGATTTATTTACCTAAGAGCTGAATTTTCACCCAGTGGTGTAAGGCTGGAGAGTGTATCAATCGGACCTCTTTTGTGGAGCATATGGAGGGGGAGTGGAGCGCATGGAGCACTTGTAGCCGTACTTGCAACACTGGAATCAGCAGTCGACAACGCAAATGCCCTGGGTAAAAACAAGTTCAAGTTTCCATTACTGTTGATCAGAATTTCTGAACAGAACTTTAATCTTATGAGTACAGAAACCCATTAAGATATAGGTGTCCTATACATAAGTGATTCATTTTTTATGAATACTGAAAAGCACTTAGGAGAATAAATATTTCAGGTTTTTTGTTGCATGCTAACACTATTTTTCCTCTTTTCTGCTTCTGTCAAAAGCTTAGACAATATTAAGGGGAGAATACAACTTTCTTTTTAAGCTTCACCTGAAGAAGCAACAGAAAATTAAATTTGTAATTTTTGACTTGCAAAACATCAATGTGTAATTCTAGACTTTCTTTTTTTTTTTGCTGGAGAAAATGGACTTCTGTCTCATTTGAAGAGCCAAAGAATTACAACTTTTACAAAGGGGTCTCTCTACCAGTTTCACAGACATGTAGATAGAATATCTGGAAACAACATTTAAATTCCATATCTTGTGAAAATGAAAACTCTGTGCCTTTTGGGATAAAGGGAGTTTTACCATTGACTTGAATGGAGTCTGTTTCACCATATCTCACTGATCAGCTAAAATATGCTTTCCTTTTAATCACTCAGTACCATATCTCTCTTTCATGGGTCATTTATACACCAAGAGAAGTAGAATATATAGGCACAGAAGTGGGAAAAGAGTAAAGAGAAGTAATGAACACAAGTGTAGAGAAGACTGGTCTAGACCAGAGTAGAGTAGAGTGGGGTGGGGTAGGGCAGAGCAGGACAGGGCAGGACAGAATAGAGTAGATGATATAGGAAAAAAATAGAACAAAAAGGGGAAATGAAGAAAGATTAAAGACAATATAACAAATTTGAGGCAAAAAAATGATGACAGGAAAGACAGAAGGATTAAGAAAGAGAAGTTTGCATAAAGAAATGTCAACAAAACTTGGATATGACTATACAAAAGCATGGTAGTTTAACAGAAGCCTTAGCTATGCAGAATGCTTTCCTATTTCCTGCCATCTAAATGCCACCTCCAGCTGTATGCCTTAAAGGTGTTTCTGGAATTTAGGGATGTCTTAATTTTGCTTTCATTCATTTTTTTTTTTCCAAGCAAGGTTCCAAATCATTAGCTCCGGTTTTGGTAGTTCACTGTTCTTTCGCATTTGTTCATTAGGACCTGTAAGCACAACTGGAGCAACCAAAAAGCAGCAAAGCATATTGTCCAAACTTCACAACACCACAGATGTAGAAAAGGAGAGGTAGCAAATCTGCAGGTGTTAATTCCTTTCAGTGGTAACTTTGGCTCATCCAGCCAGAGAAAAATCACCTGAACTATATCAAACCTGCAGTTGAAGTTTTCCTTACTGAACTCTCCTACTAGTCCTAATGCTTCTTTGGGGCCAAGTGTAAAATATGGTTTAGCACCTATGGCTCTTTATAAGTAATATAACCAGTACAAACAGAAAGCAATCATGTTTTATTCTTTGATTTTGATTTTTTGTTGGTGGTTTCTTAATGTTATGTGTCAACAAAAAATCTGCTATTTAAATTTAATTTGTGTATAGCATAAAAAAACTGTGCTGTAAGTTTGACAAAACATTGCCAATAGTAAAGCATGATATTTATGCCATCTTTTCTAGTTCAGGCCTTGAAGGAGAGTGTCACAGTCCCACAATGCAGTATAGAGTATGTGAAAATCCTTCTTGTCCTGCGGGCATGCCTGCCTTCAGGGACTGGCAGTGCCAGGCTTTCAGTGTCAGATCTTCATATCAGAAGCACGTGCACCAGTGGCAGGCTGTCATCGATGATGGTAAGCGTAAACCATCTCCCGTGTTCTTATCATCTGCTCATATGGCTTACAGCTTGATGGTATTGTTTTTGAGTACGAGAGAGATGGTAAAAAGTAAAGCAAACAAGCAAAAAACCACCCAAGCCCAAGATTTTTGGTAAGTCATTTTTATTTCATAGACAAGATTTGATGGTATTTTCACATGCTCTGAAATCTTTTATCTTACATTCCTATTGAATTTGTCCTTCTTGATATGTAATCACTACATTTGAACCAAAATTCAGTATCAGTTTTGTCCTATTTGATCAGAAATGTAGTATGAAGTGACTCAGAAATACAGCTTTCCTGAGGAATGCTACATCATTAAATATGCATGTGTCAGTTATGCTTCTACCTACAAAGCCAAGAAGACAACATGAATATTGCAAGCTTCTATTTTTGAGGAAGGAGAGGGCACTTTTACCTTAACACTTGAGTATTTCACATATCAGTGTTTGATTTTGGCAGAAATCCATATGTAATGCATACTGCAAACTTAGAGAAGATTTCTATAAATCCTTACAGCTACTGCGTGCAAAGTCCTGGCATACTGCATGCATGCTTCCATGCTTCAGTGTAACAAACTTGCTTAGATACCATGCAGTTAGGAGCATACTCAAGTAGAAGTATAGTGATGTCAAACAGAGTATCTGCGAAGATAATGTTTGTGTGAAATATCAGCAACCAGAAGACAAAACATTCTACCCAAATTCTTGCTAGGAATGTGAACAATAGTTGCCATTCCACTGAATTTTCCCTAAATTTTTATGATGCAATTTATTTAATTAAAAAAAAAGGAAAACAAGTCTAAATTGTTATGATGTAATTTATTTAATAAAAAAAAAAAAAAAGAAAACAAGAAAACCACAGAAAGACTTCAGTCATGAAAACAGTTAATTTGAGAAATTAACAAAATCATAGCAACTGGTGATAAAGAAGAGCCTGGAATGACACAGGAGTACTGTAAGTATGTGTTACCACCTTTTAAGTAGTTCATTATTGCCGTTTAACTCTTGAAACAAGTTATCAGAAACCATTGAAAGTAGATTTTAGGAGAACTAGTTTCCTGAATCCTGAAAAATGTGAATTTATTATCAAGAACTTATTTTAATATATGCCTAGCTAAACAAAGTTGGTTTTTTATTTCTAAGACTTTTCTCAAGGTGCCAAAGTGAAGACTTGTGAGACTATTTTCATTAATCTTGTATATTAGCTCATTTCATAGTAAGGAGAACTCTCTCCAGCTATTTTATAGGTGCTTGTCTAGTGAATTAGTTTTGGTTTGTTTTTCTAAATTTTATTTTAGCATAGGAACACATGATTTATATCCTAAGGGATCAAAAGGTTTCAGCCTAACTTTGAATAATTCAGTCATCTGTTCAAAACACTTGACACTCTCCTGTCCCATGTTAGGCAGTATGCATGGTTGCTTTAGTCTTACTTTGTTCTGAGAGATGCTGTTGTCTTGAGGTGTCCCTCAGGAGATACAAGAGTGGACACTAGCTAAAGAGTTCCAAGATTACAAAAATACATTGTTCCCAAATCCTTAATTATTTACAGTCTTAGCTTTCAGTAGACACTAACTGTGCACTATGTCCAAAATAGTTGCTGTATTTGAATAAGGTCTTCTATAGTCTATTGAAGTTTTCCAGTGTTGACTTACAGTCTCTTTGAGTTCAGTATCCTTAAAATAATGTTTAGCTTGTTAGTCTTGTATTCCTTTAAAAAAATGCTGATACATGTTTAAAGCTCCCAGGGAACCTTGGGATTACTATTTAAGGAGTTTAACAGAAATGCAGAGCACACAAACTCAGGCAGAGACTCACGCTTCTCAGCTGGACATGCCTTGTGTCTGACTGGCTTCACATATTGGCAAAAGAGATCACATCTGTTTGCACCAGTCCCCTGGAGATACCCAGAGGCTCTGTCAATTTTAGTAAATTAAATGTACCCAAACCACTCTCTGATGTGTCAGTCTGCTGGCACAGAAGTCCTGTGTCAGTACTTTTCAAGTCTTCTGCACTCTAAAAAGGATGGTGACATCCAAACTGCTTTTTGGAAATGGTCCTTTGCAGATGGCAATTTCCAGTCTAGACGGAGCTAGTGCTAGTTAGCACACGCAAAAAAATGTGGCATAGACTGCTTTACAGTTCAGCTGTATAGACAGTAGAATTCCAGTGCCCATGAACGTTTCCAGGAACTGTTTAATTTACTAATAAAAATGCACTCCAGGAATCTAGAAGTCAATATGAAGTCAGAGTGGCATAGTGTCCAAGTGAAATCAGTTTCAAGTTCGGGATTGACTTTATGCATTCAAAAATCTGCAACAGATTTAGGAGGAAGTTCTGAGTACACTTGTGAATAAAGATATGAAAAAATTATGTTATTTTGTATTCAGTTGACCATTGAGAGAAGACTTAGTTTATTTTATTTGGTATTACTTTGGCAGTGGTGATACAAACTTCATTATTTATAAATTATGACCATTAGGAATATATGGATACATAGGATATTATTACTTTTTTATTCTCTTTCAAAATTACAAATGATTTGCAGAATGCTTTAGAAATGTAGTAGAAAATTGCTTGACCTTGGTAAAGGTGTTTAGAAAGAAGGTCTTTTTTATTTAATGTGGACTTTGTAAATCCATATATTTTTCTTCCCTGGGTGTCTCAACTACTTAATTTTTTTCTCTTTGACCTGCATAGTTGGAAGATCTGGAAAGTGTTAAGTTTCTTTTTTAACCAATATTTATGATCTGGCAAAAATATAGTAGAATGAAAGTATAGATTACAACTGAAATATTCCAACAACTGTAATGTGCATATTCTTAATTGCAACAATGAACATGACATAAGTACTATGTAGGCCAAGTTTATACCACCAGTATGCTCTAGCAGGAAAAGGAGTTTTTCAAACAGCTGAGAGAAGGATAAAAATCTTGCTTTCACTGTATCTGAGATGAATTGTTATGCTAACATAGATTCATGCCACACAGATAAGCAAATATCAGTTTTAAAAATAATGTTCATAATAATTCTGTATTTGTTCAGTGACCTTTTACCAATTTGGTGGTTTTTCTCCATCAATTGCTACTACAGAAAAGCCATGTGCCTTATTCTGTTCACCAGTCGGAAAGGATCAACCTGTTCTTCTAACAGAAAAGGTGATGGATGGGACTTCTTGTGGCCCCCATGGGTTAGATGTCTGTGCAGATGGTAGATGCCAGGTATGAATTACTTGTTTCAAACCTGGATACACAGGCACACGTATGCAAGTGCATGCATTTGTTACGCATGTGTGTTATTTCCTTGACAGCTTGTTGCAATATGCATGACCAAGACTGAATGTCTCTTTTTGTATCATATTATAATATTTTTAGCTAATTTCACTCAGCGCAACACAGTATATGAAGCAGCTAAAGGGTTAGCTTGGAGAATGTGTATCTGTGATGATAAAGATGCTTATAACAAACTGCTACAGAGTGGAAAATGAGTATAACTGATTTCATCTTCTAAGGGAAGCCTCAGCTTTCGACAGGTTGGGAAATTTTGCCATGGGGTGTACATAAGTATATCTAATTCTGCCTTTTTCAACAGTACACAATTATACACTTAAATATGCCAAGACCAAAGGAGCTGAATAACAGATAATTAAAGCTGAGCGCTTATGCTATTCCTGATCCTCAGAATTCATTTGGCTCATAGAAGTTCTTTTGTTGCTTTTATAGTGCCTCATATGGAAACTCTTCTACATAAAAATCCCACAGGGCTGTTTTTTTTCTTTGTCTGCTTCTCATTGCACATATTGAATTCAGTAGAAAACCCAGCCTTTAACACAGAAACAGCATTCCTAGGTACTATAATAACTTCAACAAATTAACTTATAGGTGCATGGATACGTGTGTATATGCATGCAAATGCATATATGTAAGTATAGTTGTCCTTTCTTGAGTTACTGAGTGCATGCAACAAGTATACTCTTAAATACTTTGCTGATTTGGGCTTTAGTTCACCAGGTAACACTTACAAGCTTAATCACAAAGATGATGTATCGCCCATTTTATCATTCACTTTTCACAACTGACTAATAAAGACCAAAAAAGGGCCTTAAATCAAACCCACCTGACTAAGACTGAGTTGGTTTCTTGGCATATCAAGGATCAGAGAGAGAGCTGCTAATCAGATTTGAAAGTCTAATTTGTAAAGTCTTCCACATTTTACCCTGTCTTCTTAGACAACCCACTAGGAAGAACTTTGGGGACTACAGCTATAGAGTTAGGTATTTATATCTTGTAGGTGTGCCGTTTTGGATACACAACTCTTTGAATCCTTATGCTGTAATCAGTATTTTGAAATCTGTATCACTTTTTTGGGTAGAAGAACTCTTCTGTGCATGAAGTGAAATAACAATTTAATGTGCTTGGAAATTAGTGGCTCCTTGATAGACCTTTCTGTTCTTAAATAAATCCTTTGTTTTCTCTTTAATCTAGCTTTTATCTTCATTATTTGTCAAACGGTCTTGACATTTTGGGTTTATCAGACGCATTTATACAGTGCACAAGATTACCCAGTGGTGACTTCTCTAGGCTTTGAAAGGCTTTGATTTCATATCGGGTCAGCATATGATATTAACTATATTCCTATTGTCAAGCTACCACTGATATTTATTGATAGAAGTGTGTCTAACATACTGATGTGGAGGTGCTTGAGTAAAATTAATTTGTTTTAAACTGAATGCTTTTTAGCAAAACACAAGTACAATTTACATGTACATATTCTAGATGTGTTCATGTCCTATCCAGAATAAGACATTAGGTTGACATTAGACAGTACTTTACCATGGTGGGTATGGCAAAGAGCCTCCCATATTTTGAGTTGAAAGCAGTAGAGTTGCACACATTGCAATCTCTGTGCAGGAGGGCCTGTGGGGCATGTGCTGCACAGCGGCTCAGGAGTGCCAGAGGCCCCGGAGTGAGGTGGGAATGTGGTTGTGTTCCTCTTGGAGAGCAGCTGGCAGAGTTAGCTAATCATATAGGAAGAGTGAACGCAACAATCCACATACAATCGTAGAAAAAATTACTGTGGAAGGGATCTCTGCACATTAACTAGTGCAACCCTCATTCTGAGCAGGGCTAGATCATGTTGGTTACGGCATCTTGCAAAAGGGTGAGATGCCCACCACTGAAGGTAACTTTATGAAAAACATGGTCTGTGTCTCAATAGCTTTATTTTCTTCTCCCACAGAAATTTGGCTGTGATGGCATATTAGGATCTCTGGCTCGTGAAGACCATTGCGGTGTATGCAATGGTAATGGAAAGTCATGCAAAGTTATTAAAGGTGATTTTAACCATACCAGAGGAGCAGGTAAGTCTGTTTATTTCAAATAATCAGGAAAGCAATAGCTGTTTGATTACTTTAAGCACTGGGAACTTTAAAAAGCTATACTTCTTAAAATTATGCAGTTCCTCACAAGAACTCCAGATCTACTTTTTTTAAGAGAAGATGTTTAATATAAGAATGCTTGAGTATTTTTAAATTTAATTATTGCTAAATTATTGAAAATTGTTTTGATCACAAAATGCAGGAATTATCTTCCATTAAGACACACATTATTTCAAAGGAGACCCTAATTTTTAAAAAGTATGTGAAGTAAACTTTATATTTTTAGTAAACAAATAAATGGTGAATTCTTATAGTGTTTAAATTCAGTTAGTGTTCTTCAAAATAAATATCCAAATTATGATCTGTTACCTAGAATAACGTTATTAAACAAGCCTGGCAGTGGGAGAAGATAAAGGCAAATGTGTGAAGAAGTCTTATATCTTTACATTATTTATTGTTTTATAATAACATATCATAAAAAGCAAATAGATTTGCTGATGCAGAATGAACATGAGGTTTTCAAACACTGCTGTGATCTATTATTTGAATGAAAATAATTGACTGGCTCCAGCACAATAGTGTTGACAGTAGAGGCTGAAATTCTAATAATGTGCACCACGAACCATGTATACCTTCTCTCCAAGAAAAATCTTTTCTTTGAAACAGCAGTTGGCCAACTGTTTTCAGCATTTGTTTGCTATTATACTTTCAGTTTCTTGAGTAGAAATTGTGTAGAATTTCAAGACAGTAGGTAAATCACATAAAAAAATACTGTAATTAGAAGCAGACAGTATATCTTTGAAAAATCCAGGACTTCAATGCATTATAGACTGAAGTACAGTACTTAAAAAAAAAAAAATTTAGGCATAGTCTTTAGATGTTTATGTCTGGCCCTCTCTTAAGCTGAAGGTGATGCTGAGCAGGGATCCCAAACCACAGAAGAGTTTGGAGGACTACAAGATCAAAAACTACAAAGAAGGTGGTTGTTAACAGAAATTACAATGTGTCAGCTCTCTTTTACAGCTAATTGAATATCCACACACTTTCAAGTTTATTCAGAGTTCTGTGTCAATCCACAATATTGTGATATTGCACTCTGAACAGCTGCATAGGTTGTTTTCCTTCTCAAGAAGCTGGACTGTCAGCAATACTTAGAAAGTGTTATTACCTCTTAAGGAAATTAAAGACAAATAATGCTGCTTTGCACCAATGTAGTTTTCATGTTTCAGAATTATTGAAAATGTGTTGTAAATGCTCAGTATTTTGTTACAGAATATTACACAGCTACACAGAATAAAAACTTGGTTTACTGTCCACTTTTTGTTAACCTGCATAATCTAAAATATCTTTTTATTTATAACATTCCTGAAAAAAGTGTTTTTCACCTGCATTGCCTTTTCACCACTTTTTACTTAAAACAAATTGCTCAACAGCATGTCTTAGTCCCACACTCTAAGGAAGCAATTGTATTGTAAAGCAAATAACTAATAAGTAGATTTCAAAACTAAAGCCATTCATAACAGGGTTTGAATGCCTCCAAGCAAGGAGGGAAATGGAGCACAAAATAGTAAAAAAACAAAACAAAACAAAACAAAACAAGAAACTAAACACTGGAAGGATGTTTGGGTTTTAGTGCCATATCATTTGTCTCTACAAACTGAGTGAAGCTGGAATTATTTTATGGTCATCTGGCGGTAATGATGACATTAAACTACTTGGCCAGAGACAGCTTCGTCTGCTCCAGCCCCAACCTGCTCAGCCTCACTAGTTCTTTTTATGTTTTACTTTGCTATACTCTTTTAATTGTGTATCATGGTATATATATTACACATAATGCACATTTCATAGTTTCTTTCAACATTTTGCAAGAACCTTCAAACCATTGCTATGCAAATTATAACTTGTTACATTTAAAAAGCGAAATAGAAGAAATGAAAAAACATACAGGATGTACTTTTCTATGCTTTTGTATTTAACTTGAGGCATCTGGTCTCATGTTTAGGTTATGTGGAAGCTTTGGTGATACCTGCAGGAGCAAGGAGAATCAAAGTTGTGGAAGAAAAACCAGCTCACAGTTATTTAGGTAAATGTCATATATTTTAGTGTTTGTGACCTGTTTTGGTCAGCACTGAACAGTACTAGCTAAACATGTTTTTGTGATTAAACAAAACTCTGAGTGGGAAAAAAATTCTGTGAAGAATATGTTTAAAGAAATTTTGTAGAAATAACAAAATGAAAGAATGGTTATAGCACCATTTTTCAGACAGGTTTTATTTTGAACTTTTGTCTCATCTCATTTTGTTTAGAGAATGTTTCAAAGAATGTATCTAGAGGACTTAAGAAAAATTCTGCATAATTTAACATTTTCAATTTTTCATATGGAAAGCACTAAAGAAGATAATTCATATGAAAACTAGTGAAAAGAGTTTTATGCTGTGACCAACATATAGCAAATCACCAACAAGGTCAAAAAAAATGTTCTAGAATTAGACTAAGGCGGCAGAAAAGTATTCTTTTGCATTATTTTCAATTGTCTGAATGTTTTAATGGACAAATTTAATCTTAATGAATTTTTTTTTTAGTTTTTCCATTTCTATGAAATTGTCTTTCACTGAAAAAAATTTTTTTCTCTTTTAATGAGTTCGAAAGCTGTTGTGTAGCAAAGTATAATTTGTTACTATTATTGTTACAGGGTTTAAGTGAATATGTGCAATATCACAATTGGTGATATTTCGTGCACTGCTTACGTTTAGATTGAGAGAGACTTAACATGAGAAATAGGAGAATGAAATGAAAAATTCCCTGGTTTGATCACTATTCTTAGTTCTGCTTATAAGTAATATGTAGATTTTAAGAAACTTTTTACCTGAGTATTCTCAGTACTTCAACTGAGACAATGTTGGAGATGGTGAATCTTAATTATGACAGATTAAGTTGTCAATGGGTGACTCTTGGTTTATCATGGGGTCTGTACCTGCCCCGTTAAGATATCACAGGAGATTAAGAGATCTGCATTATTTCATTGCTCCCCAATGGACCATAGACATGGATACATAAGAGTGTCAAATGAATCACTGAAGTTTCATTGCCATATTTTGCAAATTTTCCAAGTTTTTTTCCCTTCTGTGTCTACTGTGTTAACATATGTGGACAACAGAAACACTATTTTTTTTTTTTATTTTTTAATAATGCAAAAATAAATAAATGTTGGAGTTGTATTTAGGGAAATTAATTCCTTTTTCATGAGTAGCAAACTGATACATTCCTTACCTTACAAAAGGCAAAAAGAATGTAATGCTTTTTATGCCCATGAAATAATGTCAGTCATGCTGCTTATTTTTGAAAGGTGCTAATTAACTCTTAATTGCTTGTCATTTTAATTTTACTTATCATAATTTCACTAATGTCAGTCTGAATGAGGATCAGCTAGTGTTTCACTGCAATATTTTTTTGTGAAGCCTTTATGGAGAACCAGGAACAGGTCTGTTACAGTATTTTGAATTAAAACCTGTGTTGTTGCACCTTTTTTTTTTTCCTTTACTAGTGGCAGGTATTTAAACTTTCTTCACTTATAGGAGATTTATTCTGGAAGCATAAAAAACTGAATTGAAAAGGAGTAACATTTTGAATAGGAATATTTTTGAATAGAAGTTACATGATAAAAGTTTTATGGAGAAGGCATAGGTCTTTCACCTTAGAAACAATATTCTTCAAAATACTGTGATTTTGTAATACAGATTAAATTCTTTCATGTTTCTGATTTGTTTCCTATCTTACAGTTCTGTATGCTAGTTTTATGTTGCATAGCACCTCGCGCTCTGCATTTCTGTACTTGACATGAGTCAATACAGACCAACACTATTTCTATTTTGCTAACGGTTATATACACATTTTAGGATTAAGGTTTTTAAATAATATAGCTCATTATACAATTAATAATTGTATAATTAGAGAGATAGCTATAACCATGATTTAGTCTGATGAACACTGAGAGCTGTGGCTTACAAAGTAGAAGCTAATTTAAACTGAGGGAAGATTTGATCCCTGTTGTACAGCAGTGGTCAAATACGGAGGGAGCTAAAATGAAATGCTCTTCTCTAGCTTTACTTGGTGGTCAGAAAGCAGGGTCACTATGATCTGGAAGCTGCAATAATGTTCCTAAAGTGATTAGTAAAACTACAGCCCACATCAGTAGCATCATTGAGTGATTGTGCTGTTGAAGCAAATCTTCAGAGGAGTTCTACCTGAACACCTGAGGTACCATCTTTATCTGAGGTATATCAACATACACCACACTAACAGGAGCTCTGTCATCCTAGGAGAAAAGATAAGATATAACTTGCAACTGCACTTACTGAATGGATTGATCTGTTGAGGTCTGACCTGTCTCTTCTCCCCTGTTGGGAGGTGGGACCAGTGATATAGCCAAACATTAGGTATTCCTCCCTACTGAAGTTATATGAGAAAATGCGTAACAGATTGTTATTCTTCTTTCATCGATAGAGTATTCAGGAATAGGAATTATTTGTAGCAGTATTGGGGTGGGGGGGAGTGTTTATTTAATTAGAGAATATTTCCCAAAGCATATACTTACTAATTTTGGAATTAGAATTCATTATTTTAGGAAAGAATTTTGAGACTTATTTTTAAAGAGTAAACTAGCAGTGATAACCCTGTCTGTTTATAACCATGTTAACATGAGACATGGTTCATTGTCAGGTACTTCGAAAAATTTATTGTAAGAACAGCTATAAAAAAGTTGTTTCAAGCATTATCTAGATTCCTGTGGTCTAAAATAGTGCCTTTTCTGTTGCTAAATTTTCATTTATATTTGGCAGGTGTTAAAAGTTTTTTAAAAAAAGTTCTTCATGTAGGTTACAAAAAGGAAGATTATAATGTTTTTGTATAAGAGATACCCTAGGCTTTGAAATTAGAGAGCTTATTCATGTGACAGTTGTATAATGGTGTGGCAGGTCCAGGCTCCATAATGAGTTAGTTGGTTAAAGGTATATAACTGTACAAATGACTTACAATCTAAAACCTGAAATTTTTCTGTGCTAATTGGAAATAAGAGAACTTATTTATTTTCAGCTGAAATAAAGAAGTAGATTAGCTATATCATTATTCTCAAAAAGGTGATCAAGCTGCTTCAGGGATATAGACCCTTTGAACCTGCAGTTTAATGCTGCATGACATTATAATTGCCAATTCTCTTATAGGTATCAAGTCCGTAGGTGTGTTGTGTTCTGTCTGATTTCCTTTATGCAATATGTTTCCTAGTAAAAAAAGAAGCATGTTGGACCACATGGGGAGGAGGGCGTGGGGAAGCAGATAGTGTCTGACAAATAGTAGAAAATTTTGAATCCTCATTTTTGACAATGCTAATAGTTTTGAAGTACCTTGGACCAAATCCTTATCCTGTGTAATTTCTGATTTCAGGGGAAGACAGTTGAAGAGCTGGTCCCATAGCAGAGACCAGAGTCCACTGAGACCCTCTGGGAAACTGCCCTCAGGGATCAAGGAGCATAACAGGGCTGGCAGCTCTTTAGGGCCATTTTTCCTAGATTAGAAGAGCTCTCAATTCGCATATGTAAGAAAACAGGCAAGGAAGGCAGGAGACCAGCATGACTGAGTAAGGATCTCCTGGTCAAAAGTGTAAGAAGGAAATGCATAGGCATATGTATCCTGGGAAGTACACAGGGATGCTGCCCAGATGTGTAGGCATGAGATCAGGAACGCTAGGGCACAGTTGGAGCTAAATTTGGCAAGGCATGCAGAGAATAATAAGGGCTTCTACTGGTATGTTGGTCATAAAAGGAAGATTAAGGAAAATGTACACACAGACACCCATAAACACACATCCTGACAAATAAGACAGGAGATCCAATGACAACTAACATGGAGAAGGCTGAGGTACTCAGCCGTTTTTTACCTTAGTTTCAATGGTAAACACCCTTCCTACATCTCTCAAGTCCCTAAATGACAAGGCAGGGATTGGTGGAATGAAGTCCCTTCCATCATACGTGAGGTTTGGGACTACTTGAGGAACCTGAACATGCGCAAGTATATGGGACTCGATGAGATGCATCCCAGAGTCCTGAGGGAACTGGCTCATGTAGTTGCCAAGCCACCTTCAAGCATATTTGAAAAGTCATGGCAGTCAGATCAAGTCCCCCGTGATTGGAGAAAAGGAAATATTGCACCATTTTTAAATAGGATAGTAAGGAGGACCCTGGGATCTACCAACCAGTCAGCCTCACCTCTGTTAAAATTTTCAAAAAATTACTCAAATCTCAAATCTCAAATCTCAATGTTCTTAAGATGACTTGAATGGAATGCTTGATAACCTGAATGAGAGTGAGACAATTACTTCCATGACAAAAGGTATCAGTGAAGGTACTCTCATTTAGAATTGGATTTCAGATATTTTTTGTATTTTCTTGAGAAGAACAAGGGTCATTCGAAATGACATTGTTTTGGTACTTTTCTGGAGAGTATGGCTAAATTTTGCACAGAGCAAAAGGTAAAATTTATAATTCACAAAGATGTCAACTTCCCTCTTATTTTGATACAAATGCCTTTTTTCTTAACCTCTCTGTAAAGTCTGACAATTTCAAATTAAGCAAAAATTTCAAAGTTAATATAACAGTGTTGTATTTTACAGTTTTCTATGGAAAACAGTAAAAAGATTAGTAGGCACAGATTTCCAAGTGGAGGACCAGGACAAGGGCGCTGTTGCTCCCCACTAAGCAGTGGGAGATGCAGTAGCTGAACTGTGAAATGTTACGTCTCTATGGCTGTGTAGCCTCTCACACTGATTAAAATTGGAGAACTATATATCCCTGGTACAGTAATTAAAAAATAGATTGGAGTCGTCACTGTGGTGATGGCTATTTTATTCTCTGCAGAGAGACCCTTGCAATTAGTTTCCTTGGTTTAGCACTGAAATTTTGGTCTTGGTTACAGTTGCAGTAGGTTTTCCCAGTCCAAGTTCTCTTTGTTTGTCCTTTCAGTTGTAGATGTGTTGCTCAATTTGTTTTATTGCCTGAGAGAGGATACACTTGTGTGCTGAATTTTCTTCCTCTATTGCATGACTTTGTACGGGAAATCCTCCTCTATCAAAAGCTAAGCAGAGTGGGAGTATGTGTGTGGTGTGGAATAAAACTCAGTGAACTTACTTACAATATGGGGTGTGACTGAGTCTAGAACAGAAGCTGGACCACCTGAATCCAAGCCTAAATTTTAGGTTTGAGGATGCCCTTTCTTACTTCACCTAACCCCAGTGGCTGAAGTGAGGAATCTGAAAGCAGAAAATGCAAGATCTGGCATATTTCTGTGTTCTGGGGCTGGGATTCCAGTCCCTTGCACATGTCTGTGTGCTGTGGCACACATATTCATTTTAAAGAGAAGAAAAAATGATGCAAGGTCTGCTGCCCTCCAGGGAGAGGATGCTGCTCCATCTGAGCAGCATGACCCGGCTGGACCCCAGCGCTTTTGTTTTGTTTTGTTTCTCCACTGGGAAGAGGATTGGCCCCTACAGTTTAAGCACTAAATAGAACTTAATTACCATTAATGACTGAATGTTTAAACCTAAGATATCAATTTTTAAATCTTGTAAAATCGCTGGTTATTTTTAGTACAGAGCATTAATGGATTTTATAGTCTTAAAATTCGTTGCACAGTGCTGCAGTGCTACACATCAGTGGTGGATTGGTTGCACACAATTGGATTTCTGCCTGATCATAGACCTGTTGCCATTGTTTCCCATAGAAACAAAACATAACAGTATAAATATGAATAGGAGAGAGGATGATTACAGGAGTGACTCACATTAACTTACAACTTAAAAAAAAAAATTTTGGACAGGCTTAAACTGCTGAGGTTCTCTTACAACGGTCTGATGCCAAACATGAAATTTCAATGAAGAGGAATGTGTAAAACTTCTTGTCCAGAAGGTGACTTCAAGTATATTCTACTTCACGTGATTATTCAGACCTGATCTGAACAAAATAAAAGAAAATAAAGTAAAATAAAATAAAATTATAAATCTTTCACAGAAGAATCTATTCTGTTAACTCTAGAAGACTGTGAATCTTTACACTGTAAAATCCTGTGTTCTCAATGTATGAAGTGTATCTTACCTGACTTGATGATGCTTTTGAATATAAATTAGGCCAACAAGAGGAATGATTAAGCCAAAAATAACAAGTTCCTCCTGTTTGTTAGAAGCATCAAATTATGTGATGAAAATGTATAAAATAAATGTTTAGGTAGGATGACAGTAGTATTGTCACATTCTAAGGTGGAGAAAAAGGCAAATGTAGTTATTAGAGAGGACAGATTTCTGACCTAGAATTTTTTTGAAGTTTTAGCCTAATTCCACAAATCCTGAAGAGTGTCTTGTGGAAATTTTGTTTCCCATGCCTTTATGTATTATAGAAATGACCACACTGGGAACAGAGAATGGTTGCCTTTGCCTTAAATTAATTCAGTGATCAAATTATGAATTATACTGGAGCCTGTCAGTCTCTTCAGGCATTAAAACACTGATGTTAACTTCAAGTAGTGTTAAACACACATGGTTTTGCCAAGCATTTCTTCCAGAAACTGTTTCTGAAGCATATTCCAATTGAAATTCATGTAGAGTAAAATCCACAAATATCTTTGCCAACACAGTGAGGTGATTTCATCCATGTGCTAAGTTATCCAAACAGGAAGTGAAAGGAGGCCCAAATCACTACTGAACAGACACCTTTTGTATTGGTCTTTTTTCATATATTTTGCAGCTCTTCGAGATGCTGGAAAACAGTCAATCAATAGTGACTGGAAGATAGAGCATTCAGGAACATTCAATATTGCCGGGACCACTGTTCATTATGTTCGGAGAGGTCTCTGGGAGAAGATATCAGCCAAAGGTCCCACAACATCACCTTTACATTTGCTGGTATGACAATAAGAATTGGGTTTTTTTGCCTGATTTCTATCATGTAGCATGGTAACTAATATTTTTTTCCAGGCTCCTGAAGATAATGAGATCATGTAAGACATACCTGCTTTTATATATATATATAT